GTTACAGTTTTCATATTATTTATGTAATATCAAGTATGAGAATTTGGGATGTTACAAAAATAAACATAAATTTTGAGAGGAAAAAAAATCTTAAATAAGAACAAAGTTTATGCGAAAATAAATTCGCAATCTTTATGACATAACAATTATCTTATTAATTTTTATTAATATTTGCATATTTATTTATTATAATATTAAAATTTAAAAAAACTGTCACACTAATTACATAGCGAAAAACAAATATTTTACTAAAATCCATCAATTTTTTTTAATTCAAACTATTGCACTTTTTATTCTATTTTTTCAATTTTCTTTTCCTTCTCACTCCCACTCAATTACAAGAAAGCATAGATCACTCCAGATCAACCAAGCTTAATACAAACAAATCATAAAATCAAGTCAAGCTTTACTCATTGAATCAGCTTTAAATTTTGCTTATAATGACACTAATAAAGTCAGGATTGTGAAAGTTGAAGTTCTTGTTTAATGACAGAAACTAAATATTCAAATTGTGTGTTTGTACACACCAAGCCAACTTCAAGTCCTCCTTCCTTTTCTCCACTCTCTGCTAGAGACATACCCTTCATGGAATGTACCATTTCCACTTTCTTAGGCTTTCCAAATCCAAAATCAGTCTCATAAACAGTGAACTTGGGTGACCCTGTAACTATCAAAGTACTTCCCAAAGCAAACATCCTCGTAAATGTTTCCCTCCAGTTTTCTGCATCCTTAAACAGATCACTTTTCATATCACTCACTGCCCTTCTCATAACCTTCACCGCATTCACAAAACCACCTTCTCCCTTCAGCTCCTTTCTCTTCAGCATTGCAAAACATAACGTTAAGCAGTTTCCAAAGTATGTTTCTGGCACAGCAGGCTCAAGCCAATCTCTGCAATCTGCAGCGAAACGAAAGTACTCTTCTTTATCTTCTTCGTATTCGCTTCTGTGTCTTGTTTTAACCAAACAAGCCCACACAAAGCCACAAGTCACCACAAATTTCGATACATGTTGTGACGTGCTGAATTCTTCACTTCTCTTCCACTGCTTCAACACCGATCTTCTCAGCCTCTCGATATCATCCCTTCCAAAAACAATCGTGGCTTTGACATAATCTTCAGCATTGCAAACCTCCGAGCTTTTCCCAGCGAGCTTTTCCTTCCAAGTTGACCTCTCTTCAAAATAATCTCTTAAGAAGATAGCTTCCAACCCTTTGGGGTCCTTCAACACTCCCCTGTCCATGCACGGAGCTGACTTTCCTTCAAGAGTCAAGTCAACGCCACCACTTCGACAAAAGGAAGCCCAAGACTTCATGAAATTGCTGCAACAACTATCATCCATCACGTGGCAATAGGTGATCGAGATGCAGAGGCCCCGGTTGGGGAAAACCGTGGCTTGCAATGCCAGCAAAGGGAACACAAACGTGTCATCGTGTGTGTTCGTGCATGCTAACTTGGGAACCAAGTGTTCCAAGTCTTTGAGACTTTTGGGGTGGTTCGATGAGAGGTAGTCGAAATCAGCTTTGGACTCGATGATAGTGAAGGGGACAGAGTCATCATCGGTGCAACGAATGAAGGGTTTATGGGGTGGTGGAGGACACAGGAGGTTTCCGGCAAGAGGGAAGAAGAGTTGAAGGGTTTGAGAGAGAGAGGTTTTGAGAGAAGGAAGGGTAGTTTCACAAAAATGGAGTGTGGAATGGGGGAAGTGGTAGAAGAATTGGCGTCTGACATAAATAGGACCTGCTAAAGGCAAATCAAGGAACGACAGAGGAACAGAAGAAGTTGATCTCATTGATGGACCAATCTTACATTTTTCAACGAGTTTGTGTCCTCTAAGAATTGCCATTTTCTTCATGATATTTCATGAAATGAAACGAACTTATATAGACGAGCAAACATGTATGTTGGAGAGGTTTAAATGCATGCACATATATATAAATTTTCCATGATCTTGGTCTTTCCGTAAAGTCATACATGAAACACGTACATGACTTAATTCTCAAGGAAAAGCATAGCAAATATATATTAAATTATGACGTATTTCTTACAAAGTAATAAGTTGTAATTTAAATTTTTCATTAAAAATTAAATACACGATTTTTTTAATAATTTAAAGCTGTCAAGTAAAACGTGGCTTTGATAAAATTAAATTAAAAAATAAATTAATATGTTTTAAAATACGTCTTTATTACCCAAAGTTACTTTTTTCAGAAATATAACTTATTCATTTCTTTATTTTTTTGTATTTCTTTGATTTATGTATTTCAAAATGTTTATAAAAAGAATGCTCCTGATTTGTGAGAAAGTCATACGCAGACACGTTCACGTTCATATCAAATTAATATGTTTAGCCGTACTTAATAAGCACGGTGTGCTTATATTTCAGCTCATTTGAGTCAATAACTGAAATGCTTTAACATATTATCTTTAAATTAAGAAAATAAAGATATCACCTTAATTAATAATAAAATGAATTATTAAATAATAAAAAACTAAATATGTTCATTATGAAATGTAAGATTCAATTAATAAAGGTCTAGAAATTTAATTCCATTCTCAATTAGTGGACTTTACATTCCAACTCTTACTATTATTCAAAATGTAACGACCAGTAATCACAAATTAACAATCATTATGAGCCGGAATTTTGATCTATAACTCCATTGATCATCTAAGAAAATGTTTCGAACAAATGAATAGAAACTTTCAAATTCAATGAGACCATTTGAAACTGAATATTCAACTGTTAATTTGTCGGTGTGTTTTTTGTATTTTTTTCTTTTGAGAAGTTACGTAACTTAATTTTCTGCAGTGTTTTCTGCAGTGTTTAAAGGGTAGAGGAAGAAAAGTATGTGGTTCAGCTTTTAGAAAGTTAATTAATTAAGCATTAGACTCCGGGACATTTTCTTAGAAGGAACATACCAAGAAGTTGTATTCTTAATATTAAATTTAAGAGTGAAATGTTATAAGAAAATCATTAAAATATTTTGTATCCTCTTTTTTTTATTAAAAATAGCCATGTAATTAAATGAAATTTTAAAATTGCAAGAAGTTAAAATATAAATAAAACGTTCTTATGATGTATTCTTATAATATTTTATTATTCAAATAACATTTATAAGAAAATATTAAAAAGGATGTGATAGGACAAAATCTTATATTAGAACTTTTAAATAAGAAAACTTTTTTATGATCAGTATTCTTCGTATTGCCAAAATTATTTTGACGTGTAAAAGTAATAGATAGAATAAAGCAGATTTTGCATAATACAAGTTTTACGCAACTAGTGGGAAGAAACCAGGAAATAGCTAGAAAATATAAAAAGGCTGACTTCAAGTCGTCGTGTTTGTCTGCTAATAATACTTCTATCCATGCTCCAATATGTATGCTAAGAATGAAGAAAACTCATAAAATTAAATATAAGATATATAATTTTTATAAACCAAAATTTAATGAAGTTTTTTTATCAAAAATATACAATTTTTCATATTAGTATATTGAAATTAAACTCATTGTTATAATAGTTAATAAATAATCGTAAACAATATTATGGTAACGTATATTTAATTAGTAATTTAATTTTTATATTTAAATTTATGATTATTTTAATATTTAAATCTATATTTTTACGAATTTTAATATATGTTAAATAAAATCAATTTAGTTAATTTTATTAAATTGGTATCAACACTATTTTAAAAATATAAATATCAAAATTTAAGTTTTTTCTTTTTGGTTTGACACATGATATTTTTAAAATTTTGACAAATCTAAATAAATTATCGACTTAAAAAAAGACCAAATATACTAACTAATCCTAATCAAATAATACAAAATTATATAACTTAACATGTAATCTAAAATTGAAATCTTGACAAGTTAAATTTGAAGAAAGAGAGTTTTGATGTCTCCTAATTCGAACATGTTTAGAAGACATAGATCTTATAGAAATAAAAAAGTTTAAATAAGTTTTGAGTGGTATTTTTTGTTTTGTTTAGTATTTAATAAATTGATTTGTTTTAAGTTTGTAGTCCCTTTTTTCTGTCCTTAAATATTGATATATTTTACATTATATTTGTTTCTATAAACATAACTGTTTACACACAGAAAATTAAGAGAAAATGCAAAAGCCAAAAATTAAAAAATTAAATAAAACACAGACGGATATGAAGAGACTTTTAACGATAAAGTCCCTGCCACGATCTATAAAGTACAATTGATTATGTTTACAAATAATAAAACTAAAATATTAATAATACACTACAAAAATTAATAATTTTTCCGGGGTTTTTTTTTTTCGTTTCCGGCGGTTTTAACCCCCGGAAAGTGCTTTACCCGCGGTTAGAGAAATCGCGGAAAAAAGCTCCGTCACTAAAAAAATTACCGACGGTTTTTGAAGAAACCGCCGGTATTAGCGGGGGTTTCTCAAAACCGCCGGTACTAGCGGGGGTTTCTCAAAACCGCCGGTACTAGCGGGGGTTTCTCAAAACCGCCGGTATTAGCAGGGGTTTCTCAAAACCGCCGGTATTAGCGGGGGTTTTCAAAACCGCCAGAACTAACCGGGGTTTTTTAAAACCGCCCCTATTTGTAGGGTTTTACCTAATCGGGGTTCTAAAACCGCCGGAAATGTGTACAATTTTTTTTTATTATAATAAAATGTAATTATGATAAAATTAGTTTTATTGATCATACATATGAAATAATATTAAATAAAATTGAATATTACATATAAAATAAACTATATTGTTCAATATTTTTTAATATGGTCATACAACTAATTGTTCATATATATTAAAAAAGAAATATCTTCAACTCTAAATTAAAATACTAAAAGTATGACTGAGATGTTCATTACATTACTAAAAAGAAACAATGTTTAATTTTGTTCTTTATTACATTTCTCATTGTTTGACATACTTGCTTTATCATATACCTACAATATAACAGAATATACCTACAATATAACAGAATATACAGGTCTATAATACAACAAGATAGCAAATAAATCAAAATAAAATAGATCTAGCCACTATAATCCTCACTCGAACTGGTGATACATTGCAAACAAGCCAATATGGAAGACCGAATTCCTTTTCTTAACATCAATTTGGCAGCTGAGAAGCTAACAGGATGGACATCTCCATCCTCCCAGGAGAACCTTCATAGCCATTCTTTATAATTTTCATGAACTCCCCTTTTACTGAATCGATGTCCAGGCTCTGTTTTCTCACTACCAACATATTATGTAGGGTTAGGGTCACAAAATCCTTGAGTAACCTCTAGCTGCAGCAAACAAAGCTATATGAGGAAATGACAACAAAATTCACTTTTGATTGATTCATGATTATGGGTGAGGTTTCCAAAAGTAACATTAAAATTAACAGCAACAGAGGACATTTTTACAACATAAATATTTATGCCAAGCCCATAAAAGTGACCTTAATATAGTTATGGTTTAAATGGAAAACATCATGTCTCGTAAAAGAAAAATATTTACAAATAAATAGTGAAGCATCACCAGTGTGATTATAATGAATGGTATGGATCATGGTCACTTCTAAAGTAAAAGTGAATGTAATTATATGGGAAACCAAATTTACCATTTGAGCTACTTACATGCAGAAGAAGAGACTTATTTAAATGGGAGCATCAACCTCAATTATGGTTATCCACGAAGAAAAGAGTAATTTGATACATAGTGCATTATGATTAAGTCGCTCAGGATAAAATATAAATAACACAGGTAAGAAACATGCATACCAAAAAGAGATCTAGGTTAAGCAATACAACATACACTTGCCGCATTATGTCCAAGAATAGAGTTAGTCCTGATAGGGCGAGCCTTTACCCTTGCATAACCAAGTACAATACAAGATCAAAGTTACATAGTTTGTTTGGGAGAAAATATTATGAATTGTTGTTTTTAGCTTTGAATTTCTTTTACTAATATACTTTATATCATACAGAAGAATATAAGTTGTCATAAGTGTATTTCTTCACCATACAACAAGTGAAGGTAGTGTAAACTACAGGTTGATAGTCTAGAGTGTTATGTTGATTTTAACTAAATTTATTATTATTTAAATGTTTCAGTAAGTATTTTATTCTTTTTAATATATAATCCACATAAATTTTGCATAATTTGAAGCATTAAACTATGATAGATATAACGTATGTAACGTTGTTGTCAGTTTTAAAATAGCTTTAAAATCCCAAAATTTCATAGACAAATAATTTATATATTAAGAGAGAAATTGAAATAAGTAATTTATACTATGAAAATAACAAAGATAATAATTAATGAGTAATTACTTAAAATAATTAATTGAATGATAAAAACCAACACTATTATAGATGAATTAAAAACAAAATTATTTTAATTTAATTAGATATGTAGAGTTCTCTGCATATATAACTTTATCAAAGGAAGCACATTTAATATCACAGTCACATAATACGTTGTCTCCATCTCTTGTACAGAAAATAGTATTTAATCATTAAATTACAAAATTATTCATATGAGGTAATGTTTAATGAGGTACAAACTTGACAAAGTTAACTGAACATCTGTGATTTGCATACTGCAAAAAAAGTTATTCCATTGACACTAGCCACACAATTGCTAAAGTGGTTTTCTCAGAGTAAAAAGTGATTCGCCATTAACAAGGCTTTGTCACAACATAAAAATTTGAAGTGGTTTTCCAACCAATTGTATGGAAAATGAAAATGAAAAGATGCCTAGAACTCTTAGTTAATCAATTTTTTCATTCTGTAGAAAATGGAAACACAGACCATTATGTGTAGATCAAAATAAATGGTTACTTCTGAAACATTAATAGCAGAGCTAGTGACACTCCACTTCTTAAAAGGCTAAGTAAAGGCTAACGTAGAGGAATAGAAGAATGAAGTCTAAAGTACACACCTGCAAGCATGGAAGGATGACAAGTCTTCTCATTTGTAAATAATGAATGAACATCAAAACATACCTGAAATTAAAATTAAATTATTGTTTTTAAGCGATACTATCCGGTCATCATATTTAAATGAACTTATTTGACCATGTCTACTTTGATTTTGCAATATTAGGATAATACCTTGCCTAAGTATTTAAATGATACAATAAGTTCAATCAAATGGTTTATCAGAAGCAAAACCATACAAAGTGATTTTTCACCCTTTGGCAGGTCTTTGCATCATAAGAAAATCACTGGTTCAGGCGTTGAGGTTGGAACCTTATTCTGATTCTGACATAGACCAAAACACACTATCAATAAAGGGTACTTATTTTTGTTTACAAGCAGAGGGATATGTAATATGTGTTTATTGATCATCGCATGTCATAAATGGTCTATACATGACCGAGTCTTGAGGGGATATTCTGTCACAGAAATTTCATCAACAAATTGGGAGTCTAGTAATATTTTAACAACCAAAACAAACAACAATTGTTATTAAAATCTCATAATACTTACATGGTCTTGTCTTCTTGGATCTCAGTTTGTCTACATGAGACAAAAACTCATGAAAAACAGATAAGAAAAAAAAGTTCATTTATGGTGAGGAGGAGCCAGGAAGGCTTAGGGAAGCTTCGTCCAAGGGAGCAAGGTTCAAGCAAGAGACTCAGATCCACATGGGAAGAACAAGGCAATCAAATGGTTACATTGACTTTGTGATTGGATGAAGAATCTGACAGTTAGAGTGGAAAAACGGCTCCATGCAAACCAGTTGATCAAAACAAAAATTTTGGTTCTTCTTTTCTTCTAAAGTTATCATGTCATTTTATTATTTTTTAAAACACATTACCTTAAAAAGGTTGTTTTCATGAGACACTTTTGAAAATCAATAAACTATTGAGAACACAGTTAATGCATGGTAAAGTAAAATAATTCTACGCACTCTCATGCTTAAGTATTACAAATTCATTAACTTCATAAAAATTAAGGTTAAAAATTTTACAAACAATTTCAGAAAATATACTGTGTAATAAATCATCCATATCAGAAAAAAGTTAAACCTGTGTAATGATATCAGTTAAACTGTATAATAAATAATGTAGTTATAGTTGGAAATCTGGTCTTTACGGCACTACTGTTGTGAAGATTGAGATTGGTAAGCAAAGGCAATTTTATTAAGGTTAAATTCGTTATTTGCAAATGTTAATCATTTTTATCAAATGTCACATTCATGATTCCAAACTCAACAACATAACAGGAGTAACGAAGCTACTCTCAAAAGTTGGAAACAATTTATTAGCCTAACCATAAAATCCTGCTATGTGATTTATTTTTCCATTAATTCATACCTAAATCATATTTCAAGTCTTCTGCACTGAGCTCTTGCACTTCCTTTTGTTCTCCTCCGTCAAATTCTCACACCACCTCTTCAAAAACTCACACTCCACCTCTATTTCTTTCAGCGCAACACATGCACTCTGGTTAGAGAAAAAAAAACCAAACCAAACAAAAACATAAAACACACGAAATTGATCGGAACCTTGTTGAGAGTGTTGTGTTCTTTCTATAATAAGATATCTTGACGAACGCCTCGTTTCCAAGCAAGGAACCAACACGAAGCCACACGGATGCGGGGAACCAACACGAAAATTGTTTGAAGATTGTGATGCGGGGAACCAAACGGATGCGGGGAACCACATATCTGTTTTGAAGAAATTGTTTGAAGTTTAGATTATGCTGAAGGAATGAAGGGGTTTGGGAGATTGAAGGCAGCGGGGAGAGAAAATTAGGGTTTGGGGAGATATTTAGGTTATGCTGAAGGAATGAAGGGGTTTGGGAGATTGAAGACAGCGGGGAGAGAGAATTAGGGTTTGGGGAGAAATTTAGATTATGCGGAAGGAATGAAGAGGCGGGAGAGGTAAGGGAAAATTATTCTAAAAATTAAAAATAAAATATTTAGGGACAGTTTTTCTTATTAACCGCCGGAAGTTATCGGGGTGTCTGAAACCGCCGGAAAATAACCCCTCCTAAAATATATTATTTTTGTAGTGATATAATTGATCATATTGAAAATATTTTATTATTATATATATTTAAATTGTTATAATGTAATATTTACTATTTTAATTCGTGAAAATACGTATCTATTTTTCTATAATGATAAAAATAATTAAATTAGATTATATTTATAAAAAAATATAATATAATTTCATTATAAATACATTTATTTTTTATATATTTTTTATTATATACAAATATTTTAATTTTAAAAAGCCATTAAATAGAAAAATGATAAAATTTAAAAAAACCAAGAATAAAAATTGATAAGAATTTGTATATACTAAAAGCGATAATTCTTTTAATTATTAATATTTAGCATTATATTTTATTACATTATAATAATATCAATAAATTAAAACAAATTATTAATAACATGTTTTCTATATTATAAAAATAAATAATTAATAGGCATAATTTTTATATCATTAAATATCAATTCTTTATAATATATTACGTTGAGACAAAATCAGATTATCCCGCAACTCATGTTTTGATGTTTATTAAATAATGCTTAATGAAATATTGATGTAGAAAAAAATGTCTAAACAATTGGATTTGCCCAAAAGACAAATGTTTTACTAACAAAATTATCTATCTAAAATTACTAGGACAAAATAAATATGAGAGTAATTCTAACAATGAAAATAACGTCTGATACAAATACATACTCTAAACGCTATCAAAACTAGACACGGAACATATTGTGCACGATAAAAGATTTTGTTAAGCAAAATGCTAGCTCAAAAACTTGTGCAGATGAAACTCTTAATAGAGTGTTTATACTCCATATGCAAAGAAAGTGTTTCTCATTGAAATCTCTCAATAGATTAAATGAGAAAAATAAGTTAGCTTCTTATGAAAACAAAAGTCCAACTCTCATGTAACACTAGGGATAAAATAAATGTCTCATTCCAATACAGTAACGGTTAAACACTTTAACCTTGAAAATGCATCTTATGTTTATAGCATCAGATGAATATACATTTGTTTTATCAAACAATGCATTTATTAATGAAATGACAAATGATAAAATGTCCTTAAGATGCTACATTGTTTATCGTTTATCAACGTTCAAAACATTTAATGTGTGTACGAAAAAAATATTTCGATACTTGTATACTTTGTTCTTTGATATCCGTACAGATCAATAAAGCATAAAGATATGATCATAATCACGACATCCAAGAAAAATACGTTGTGATAAAAGAAGAAAATTATGAGAATGTTTCCTTGAAACCATTTGTCTTGTCACATCGTACAAGGTCATGTTTTGCTTAAGGCTATAAGAAAAGATATGGTGATCTATAGTATAGACCTGAGCTTGACCAAGCTACTAAAAAAGTTTATTAAGCCTATCTTAATGGTGAACTCAGTATCCAACGATCATCTCAAGAATTAATATATAAAGAAGATCAACCAAAGATAAAGTAGTTGTTGAAAAATATAGAAGAGAGAAGAGGTGAAAAAGAAAGAGTGAAAAGTAAATGAAGAAATATATTCAAGAACTTATTTGTTGAAGGTTAGTTTTTGTTTTCGTTTTGAAGGTTAGTTTTGGTTTTCGTTTTGAAGAACTTATTTGTTGAACTTGTTTGTTGTTTTTTTTAACTTGTTTATGGTTGTTGTTTGGTTGAATTTGTTTGTCGTTATTCTTTGGTTGAACTTGTTTGTTGTTGTTTGATTGAACTTTGTTGTTGGTTATTGTTGTTTGTTGTTGATCAAAGATCCTACTATATAAAATACCAAAAACTTGAAATTTGTTGTTTTTCTGCTTTTCAGATATGGTAGAGTTGTTAAAAAATGATCACAATTAATTAAAAAAAAATAAGTAAAAAATTGATTAACATCGTATATTGACAAAATTTGACATTAAGTTAACGTCGTATATTGACAAAATTCGATGTCAATTTAACGTCTCCTGATATGACGTTGTTCGCGAATTCGCCGTTAAAAGCCCAAAATATTTGACGTTGTACGCAATTTTTGTACTAGTGAGCAAAAGAAGGAAAAAGAAAAGAAGCAAAGAGCAAGCATCAGAAATATGGTTACACACTACTACGCTTCAAGCATACATCATTTTATGCTCTTGAGCTCAAAGGAACAACCTTATCAATTATTAGACTATGCTTTAATACTTTCATCCTCTTGTAGAGAGTTACTCAAGTTTGTAACTAAACAAAATTTCAGATTGTATTGTACTGAAATAGTATCCTTTCATTGAGAGTTTCTAATATGTATCTTGTAAGACTCCCATAATGGATTTGTTGTAAATTTTGGAGAGAATTAAAATACTTATAACTAAGAGTAGGTAAACTCAGACTAGACATGTTGTCTAGGGATAGATCCTGAAGAGGTTAAACTTGGACTAGACGTGTTGTTTAGGGAGCTAATAGTGACGAATAATACTCAATCAGGAGTGGGTAAACCAGGTCTAGACTTGTTGTCTAGGGATAGATTCTAGAGAGGCTAAACTTGGACTAGACGTGTTGTCTAGGGGACCAAGAATGGTTAATACTTACAACCAAGAGTAGGTTAAATTCGTGTAATATTAAAAAGATTATTTAAATCCCTTAAGAGTTTTTAAGCGAAAACTAGATGTAGCTTAAGATTGAGTAAACCAGTATAAAAATTGTGCCTTATTGTTCTATTTCTTTTAAAAACGATTTTTAACTTTTCTATATTATTGTCTAAAAGAATTTTTATTTACTTATCTTATAAACTCAGCATCCAAACATAGCTCAGTTACTCATATTCTTATTATACATCGTCATACGCTACTTTGCGAAAATATTTTGAAAACACTATTTATCTTTTTGTCTCTAAATTTTTTTTCCTATGTACTTTAGATTATATACGGAATCAATATATATACTTTTATATTATAAAAATAAGTAATTGATATACATTATAAGTTTTATATCATTAAATATCAATTTTTTTAATAACTGATATATGATGTAAAAAAATAACTGGACTCATACACTTTAGTTCATTATGGATATTGAGCTAAAACTATTTAGTTTAACCTAACTATTTTTTTATAAACAAAAATTGTGTATTCTAGTTCGGATTTACTAGTAGATTAACTCATTTAGAGATATATATTTTTTAATTTATTTTTCATAATCATTAATTTATAACATAATCAAAATATTCACATATTTTACTAACATTATTATAAAAGTGATAACATATTTAAAAACAAATAAATTAAATAGTTAAACTATTCAAATAATATAGAATATATTTTAGGAAAAATAATTATAATAAAAAGTAATTAGAACTATTAAATAATTATAATAATTAGAATTATTAAAATAAAACATTTTTTTGTCAACTTAACTTACATAATTAGAACTATTAAATAATTATAATAAAAAAATTATGAAAAAAATAGTAAAAGATTAATAAAAAGTTATTATTAGTAAGTTATAGTTTAATCTAAACGTGTTTAAAGTTAAGTAAGTTAGGTTTAATAATTTATATTTAAAATAATTAATTTTTTTTAACTTAATCTTACTCAAACCTGTGTTCAATTAATTTATATATTAGAACGTATTTTTATATCCCTAATATATCAAAAAGTAAAGTTGTGTGTCAATTTTTTAAAATGAAGTTGTGTCAATTGTTAGCTAAATTGACATACTAAGTTTTAATTGCATATAAAAGAAAAAGTTCATAAAGAAAGTAATTTGTATTGAAGATAAATAAAAAAACACTCAATACATTGAGGATCTAAAATTCTGCTCATTATTGTACTGACATATGTTATATGAAGAAGGAACACGTCAGATTGTACAGTTGTTTTTCAAGAAAAAGAATGGTTATCTGGTTTCAGGCGGTGTGAAAACGGACACAAAATGATGGGTAACAAA